TTTCAAATATATGACCTTCACCTATTCTACTCTTTAGTATCTCTTCACTCATCCCTAGTCTCCTTCCCATGGTGGCCCTGGCCAGTTTAAAATTTCTGTATTCATTCCTGTGCAGTGAGCACGTCAGCTACATTCAAGTTTTTGGTTTCCTTCCCTGCCTTATCCCTCCTGTGTGCAGCCTCTCCTTAGTGTGACTCGTGTCCCATAATATTGCTGCATTTCTTATAGGTCTGTAGTCTGCATATGAGGGAGAACATGTAACTTTTGGCCTTCTGAACCCAACTTCACTTAAGATGATGTTCTCCAGTTCCATCCATTTACCTGAAAATGAGAAAATTTATTCTTCTTTGTGGCTGAGAAAAATGGAGAACATCATCCTAAGTGAAGTTAGCCAGGTTCAGAAAGCCAAAGATCACATGTTCCCTCATATGTGGAATATAGGCCCCAGACAAATACAAGCAATATCATATATCCATATAAATATATGCAGAACATGGACCCAAAAGTGGGACTGGTAGAGGAGCCTAAGGGAGGAGGAAAAGAAGGAAAGAAAGACAGTGAATAGTAATGAAGTACAGCACATCTGTGTAGGAACAAGACAAGTGAAATACACTGGAAATTGTTGACAGGACAGGGGGAAAGAGTGAGGAAGTGCAGTGGAGGGAGGTTAGATTGACTTAAGCACATTCATTTATTTAAGATACCAAGGCAAAAACTCCCACTGAAAAATTAACAGATACCTAAACAATGGAGAACAAGAATGTAAAACAGTTCATGCTAAGGGGAAGGCACTAATGGGAGGAGCAGGGTAAATGAGGAAAGTAAAGAGGGTGAATATGGTTTATGTCCTTTCTATATAAGTATGAACATGGAATATTCAAATCTTTAGAAATACACATAAGAAGAGGACTTAGGTAGAAAGAAGAATAAAGAATAATGGAGAGGGTGAGCCAATTCGGGGTGTAATACATATTTATATATGGGGAAATGTCACAATGAAACTCACTGTATAATCACCATAAACAAACAAAAATGTCTTTTTTTTAAAATGAAGGACAGGAAGGTAAAACAAGTCCTGTCAAAGTTGGTAACAGTGGGAAGGGGGAGAGCATAAGGAAAGGATGAAGGAGGGTGAATATGGCGGAGGTACTATATATTCATGTATAAAAATGGAACAATGAGACCTGTCGTAATTGTTCTAAGAAGGGGAGAAGGGGATAAAGAGAAAGATGGAGGAGTGAACCTAACTAAGATATATTTTAAGCATTTTTGTAAATGTCCTAATATACCCCCAATATGACTCTAATATGCTAATAAAAAATTTAAAAACACTCTGCAATATATACATATATTTAACCATTGTGTGGTACCCATTAATATGTTTAATTTTATGTGTTTATGTATCACTGAAATATATTTTAAATTTGTTAAAACAAAGAGAAAACATTTTTTTTCATGGGAAAAAATTTCCTTCATGGGAAATTTCAATGTTCACTGATGTTTAGGAACCAAAATACTAAATTAAGCCATAAAGGAAATGCAAATTAAAACCACACTAAGATTCCACCTCACCCCTGTTAGAGTAGCCATGATTAGCAACACCACTAACAACAGGTGTTGGAGAGGATGTGGGGGAAAAGGAACTCTTTTACACTGCTGGTGGGAATGCAAACTAGTACAACAACTCTGGAAAAAATTTGGAGGCTTCTTAAAAATCTAAACATAGATCTACGATATGATCCAGAAATACCACTCTTGGGGATATACCCACAAAATGTGACTCAGGTTACTCCAGAGCCACCTGCACACCCATGTTTATTTCAGCCCTACCCACAATAGCCAAGTTATGGAAACAGCCAAGATGCCCCACTACTGACTAATGGATTAAGAAAATGCAGCCATGAAAAAGAATGAAATTTTACCATTCGCAAGTAAATGGATGGAACTGGAGACCATCATTCTGAGTGAGGTTAGCCTGGCCCATAAGACCAAAAATTGTATGTTCTCCCTCATATGCAGACATTAGATCAAGAGTAAACACAACAAGGTGATTGGACTTTGATCACATGATAAAGCGAGAGCACACAAGGGAGGTATGAGGATAGGTAAGATACCCAAAAAACTAGATAGCATTTGTTGACCTCAATGTAGAGAAAGTAATGCAGATACTTTAAAGTGACAGAGCCAATAGGAGAAGGGTACCAGGAACTAGAGAAAAGATTAGTTCAAGAAAAATTAATTTAGAAAGTAACACACATGTGCAGGAAAGCAACGCGAGTCAACTCCCTGTATAGTTATCCTTATATCAACTAGCAAAAACCCTTGGTCCTTCCTATTATTGCTTATACTGTCTCTTCAGCAAAATTAGAGATAAGGGCAAAATAGTTTCTGACTGGTAGCGAGGGAGTTGGGGGGAAGAGGGAAGGGGGGTATAACTAAGGGAGGGGGTGGGGGAAGGGGGGAGAAATGACCCAAACATTGTATGTACATATGAACAAAAGAAAAAAACCCAAAAAAAACCCAAAATACTAGATTATTATGGTTTTGTTTCTTTCAGATAAGGACTCCCTATGTAACCTAGCCTGGCATTGAACTCACTATGTAACTAGGCTGGTCTCAACTCCCCTTCCTACTGTTTCAACCTTCCAAGTAGTGTGATTAAAGGTTTGCATCTGCATACATCTGACCTAAGATTATTATGTTTGAATTCATTCTAATTTATGGATGATTATAGTGAAGCGCAACAAGAAAAATTAATCCTTTCAGTGGAGGTATTTACAGACAGATGAATGAGGTTCTCACTGTGTGACAAGATCCATAAAGATGCTACTGCATCTTGCTATTGATTCCAGGGGCACAGTGGTCGTTTGTCCTTTTCAGGAAGATTTTTTCTGAGGGGGCGCAGAAAATGCATTGGCTTGCTGATGGAGGGATTTTAGTTTTCTCTTCTATTTTCCTCAATCACTTATTTTCTATATAACCTGGGATCTTGTGGGTTTTAAAAAGGCAGTGCACAGAGCCAGGGTATATGATGTAAACACAGAGATGGGTGTTCCCAGCAGAATTCTGTGACTGCCTGAGCAGCCCATTGGTTTCTCTTTGAAATCTCTCTTTGTAAATTAAGGCTCACTAGATCAAAATGTTTCTGTCTCAGAAACAGGCATCTGTGTTTGTCAGGGGTCTTTGTAGAATACCTTCTGCAGTATTATTGCTCAGTTTCCCATGAGGGGTTCTGAGGTCCTTAATGCTTTATCTCTATTGGAAAGCAAGGTAGCACCAATACTATGATAAAGAAGAGGCTTGGGTGGGCTGGCAGTTTGGCTCAAGTGGTAGAGTGCCTGCTTAGTAAGTGTGAAGCCCTGAGTTCAAACCCCAGAACCACCAAAAAAAAAGAAGAAGAGGCTTGGCAATATTTTAGGTATCTTTTCCTCATAGAAGGATAAATTTCACAAGTGGAACATTTAAAAAAATTTCTTGGAAAAATATATTTACTTAGTAACAGAAATCATAAATGTAAAACTTAAAACAACCCACAATTTCCTGCATGCTTTCCTCACAGAAAGAGAAATTTTGAAATCTGTAAGTGAACAATATCTACTTTTCCATGTATTTTGGAAAATACATTCATGCAAGGTCTTTGAAGATATAATAGTGAAGCATAAACCTGGCCATTGATTCTAATTCATGAGAGCTAACAGATCTCTTTCTTGGTTCCATCCCGTGTGGTCAGCTCTGTCCTGGGAAAAGTTAGAGAGGGCTCAGATGTCAGAGCCATGGCCACTCTAAAGCAGGTACCTCACTAAGAGCAAAGGATTTGTTCTATATATAAAATGTCAGTCTGGAGAGTGAACCTCTGCTCAGATGAAACAAAAGGCCATACATAAAGCAGAGGCCTGAGTCTAGATTTTGGGAATATCTGATTTCAAATAATGTTACAGGTAGAAACTAAAGTGACAAAATGAAAGTTTTGTTTCAAGTTTGTAAATGAACCAAAATATTCCCTTTTTTCTTATTAGGAGAGATCAAAATTAGGCAAAACCATAAAGGAAGGACTCATCGATGGCTCTGGCAAGTGTCTAAAACAAACTCACTGAGGACATTATATACATTAACTTGTAGAATGAACCCCTATTTAACCACAGCTGCATACCAGCTATGCCTAAGACATATATAGTCTCATATTGATTGACCAATATACAAAGAAAGAATGCTGTTTGTAATATTTAAAAGTATAGATGGAAGCTAGTGTCTCACGCCTGTAATCTTAACTACTCAGGAGGCAGAGATCAGGAGGACAATGGTTTGAAGCCAGCCTGGGCAAATACTATGCAAGACTCTATCTCAAAAAAACCCTTCACAAAAAAGGACTGGTTTTGTGGCTGAAGGTGTAGACCCTGAGTTCGTACCCCAGTACTGCAGAAAAAAAAGTATACAGTGAAATAGAGAAATTAAGCAGAGACAGGTGATAGATTGTAAACATATAAGAAATTTAACCCATATTGAATGTTTTGTCATAAATTAATTGAAAAAATAAAACATTTGTGATGGTGAGGTTGCCATGATTGTGTGAATGAATGATCAAAGTTTTATTTTGAGGGCATAGATGAAATAAAGATATGATCAACTGTAGGATGACAAGGCATTTGAGGAAGAAGAGAGACTTATGAGAAATCTATTTATTTGGTAAAGGGATAAATTATAGGAACAGATTTGAAAAAAATGATGCTCTTTAGCATTCCATTGATAGATGGAACATGCTGCTCATTCTGCCTGTGGAGAAAAACAAATGTTTTTCTTGACATTTGGCAAGGGTCAAGAAAAAACACAATATCTGTATGGCAATTTCAGAGGATAGAATGTTCTGGATGAACATTCTCAACAGGTTGGCTGATGTTGAGAGTTGGAACTCTGTTCTAGGAGCTAATGGACACTCATTTGAAGCAGCAGACCCTCCAGAATGAACTGCTGTGTGTGCATAGTTGTTCAAAGAGACGGGTAGATCATGTGGCTTTGAAAAATTTCCCTCCACCCTGAAGTTGTAGGATCCTCTTCCATGCTTTCTTCACATCCTTATTTCTCAGGGTATAAATGAGTGGATTGAGCAGAGGGGTCATGACACAGTAGAATAAAGACAAGAACTTGGCCTTAGTGCTGTTGGCAGGGGGCTGGAGGTACATGTAGATAGCTGGCCCAAAGTACATTGTGACAACCACCATGTGGGAGCTGCAGGTGCTGAGTGCCTTGTGCCTTCCCTCAGCTGAAGGTAACTTCAGCACAGCCTTCACAATGAAGGTGTAGGAGATGAGCACAAGTAGGGGAGCAATCAGTGCAAAAGGGATGGCTCCTAAGGCCAGAAACAGGTCATTAGCAGTGGTGTCACCACAGGCCAACTTGATCAGAGCTGGTACCTCACAGCAGAAGTGGTCCAGGGTGTGCCTCCCACAGAAAGGAAGCTGGAGGGTGAGTGTGGATTGAAGCAGAGAACTGGCCAGGCCACTGGACCAGGATGCTGCTGCTAGCTGCACACAAGCCCAGGGGTGCATGATGACAGTGTAATTGAAGGGTTGGCAGATTGCCACATAGCGATCAAAGGCCATCACTGCCAGCAGAACACATTCAGTACAGGCTGTCCAGCTGAAAATATAGACTTGTGTGATGCAGCCCCAGGAAGCAATGGTCTTCTCCAGGCCCCAGAGGTTGTCCAGAAGCTGTGGCACAATGGTGCCTGTGACAATGAGGTCTAGCACAGAAAGATTGTCCAGGAAGAAGTACATGGGGGTCTGGAGTCTGGGGTTCACCATGGACAGAAGGATGATGGAGCTGTTTCCCATCAGGGTGAGAATGTACGACACCAGGATCACTGCAAAGAGGGGAATCTCTAGCCATGTATGCTCTGAGAAGCCCAACAAGACAAACATGTTTGGGAAACTCATATTTTCTCTTGCCATGGCCTGCAAGGAAAGAAATAGATTTCCAGGATAAACATGACTTTTCCATTTCAATAACTACATGGCAACAACCCCAAATCCCCACAGTTTGGGGAGATAGTCCCCATAACTGTTTTGAGCAGTTCTTCAATAGCTGCTTGATTCCATGCATTGCCCAGTAGTTGACTTTTTAGTAGTGTTAGAGCTGGAATATCCTAGAGTTGATGAGAAATCTATGGAGAACTCAGACAATTCACTATGAGTCTGTCAATATGAACACACCTCTCTTTCACTGTGTTTATCTCTCTCTCTTTACCCTGTTTTGTTTATATCCCTCTTCCTTTTCCATTCCTCTTGTCCTCTAGTCCATTCATGAATCATACTGCTCTCTCTCATGTCCTATGGAAAGGTCAAGCTGTCCTTTGCACTTGGCACTCCCATTTCTGGAGTGATTTAAAGGAACCCCTGCCTAATGTTTCCTCCCAGTGCAGGGAGGGGAAGAATGCTGGGTTTTCAGATGATAGGTTAGAGGTTAAGAATGTTCATACAGTTACATTGCTTTTGAGCTTTCTCTGCTGAGAGAGTCTATCCAGTGGAGTTCATTTTGGGCTGTCCTTTCTCTCTGTTTTCCCAATTGTTGTGATGTTAAAATACACATAGCATAATACTCTTTTAACCATTTTTAAGCATACCAATTAGTTTCATTATGTGCATTCATACAGTGTTGCCCTCACCACCATCCATCAGAATGTTTGCATCGTGCAAGATTCAAACTACACCAAGTAAATTGTAACTCTGGTTCCCTCCCCCAGACCCTGGCACTTAGTGTTTTCTTTTTCTGTCTCTTGATTTTGGCTACTGAAAATACTTCATAGAAATAGAATCACAAAGTATTTGTGGTTGGTATATTTCACCTACTTAATAATATCAAGGATTGTGTAAAACCATAGTGTTACTCAGAATTTCCTACCTTTAAAAAACTGAGTAACATTGCATTCTATGTATCTACTGCATTTTGCTTATGTATTCCTTAATTCATCTTTGTGTAATGTAGCCATGACCATTGGATATGAGTGTGGAAGTGCCTCTTTGAGACTTTGCTTTTAATTCCTTGATTGCATACAACAGAAATGGAATTGTTGGCTTTGATGGCAGTTCTAGTTTTATTTATTTTATATTTATTCATGCTATATTCCAGAGCCACTGTACCATTATTGACGTCTACCAACAGTGCTTAAGATCCAGCTTTCAACTTCTTGGCAACTTTGTTATTTTCTGGTAACAAATTTTGTGGTGTGAAATCTGCAATGATCTTATTTGAGATTGTCTATGTGTGAAAAGTCACTTCAATTTTACTATTTCAAATCTTTGTGTTTGGTTTCCTCTAGTAATTTTACTGTCTCTTGGTGAGCATCTCCTTGAGCAAATACAAGGAGGATTCTGCATATTTGTTGTTTCTTGGATGTTTACCTTCTTGTCTGTCATCAGCTTAGAAAGCTTTGTGCCATTAATTCTCCCAATGTTCTATGCCTCTTTCCTTCTGTTCTCCCAGGGGTCCTACAGGTAAGTTTGTCTGGTTGATGGTGTCCCACATATCCCTGGTCTGTTCCCCTTTTTGCATTTTTTTCTGTCTGTTCTTTAACTTGATGATTTCCATAGGTCCATCTTCCAATTTGCTAATTCTTTCTACTATGTGTTCTGTCTTTGATTTTCTCTAATAAAAATTTCATTTCCATTATTGTACTTTTCAAATCCAGAATTTCCTTTTGGCTTTTTAAATGTTTTTTTGGTCAATTTATTGATATTTCCATTTTGTTCATACTCTAGTCCCCCTTATCTGCTATTTCACCGTCCACAGTTTAAGTTATCTGGACTTCACTATACTATAAGTATCCTTCTTTTTAGTTTTCTTAGTTTTTTCCTTTAAAGACAGAATCTTCTCATGTATCCCTGGCTGTCTTCAAACTCACTATTAGTCAAGGCTGGCCTTAAACTTCTAATCCTCCTGTCCCAGCCTCCCAAGTGAGGCATTTTCTGCACACTTAGCTTGGTAAAAATATCTTAAATGAAAATTAAAAAATAATAAGTTTTAAATAAATTCTATTACTGTATACGAATAATCATTCTATCATATTACGAAGTATTTTTAGGCCTTCAGAGAGCCTAATTTATATATTAAACTTTATAATAGGTTTTTGTGTAAAAAGGCAATAGATACAGGGTTGGGAATTATCTGTGATGTATACATCTATTGGGGGTTTTGGAGCATGTTCCTCACAGGCAAGGAAACACTGCATTGTTATCCTTACCTTCTTTTCATTTTCTTTATCTTGATCTGTTTGAAATACATTTTCTTCAGTCTCCATTCAGTAGACCTATTTTCAGGTCTTTTTCAATTACCATTGATTATTTTATATATTTTCCATGTGAATGGGCCATATGCACTATTGCTTTGTATGCCTTCTCATTTCTTGTTGAAAGCCACACATTTGAATCTAATAAAAGTGGAAACCTGGAAATATCCTGTCCTGTGGCTTGCTGGTTTGTTTGATGTTTTATATACACATATATATGTATATATACTAAATATATTATATATAATTATAACAAGGCTGTGGGTATAATCCATAGTATCAAAAAAGAAATGACAATGAGTGTAAAAGGGGGATTCTGTTGGGGGGAAGAAGTAAGATGAACAAGGGGGAAAGATGAGGGTACTGGGGGGGTGAAAGTGATAAAATTGCATTATACATATGTATGTAAATAGTATAATAAAACACACTAAACACAGTGGGTCAGAAGGGGTTCAGAAAGTCTAATACAGGGGGTAAATTTGATCAAAGTATTTGCACATGTGAATGGCAATATCACAATGAAACTCCTTTAAAAAATTAATTTCTGCTAATAAAAAAGAAAAGATAAATATTTTGTATGTAGTTCTGCTTACAGTAATTTGAACATTACATGATAAATATGTTATCAAGATACATGTACCTCTCCAGAAAAAGTAAACTGTTTATGTATTAATTTGTAAATAAAATTAAAAAGAGGAAAGAAAGAAAATGAGACAAGAATTCACCATACATGCCTAGAAGAAGATGCAGGCTTTGAAAGACCTCTCTTCTGTGACCAGAAGCAGGAAGGTGACAGGAAACAGAATTCTGATACTTGGAACACAAGGTTTTTGTGCCATTCTGGTTCTTGCAAGCTGTGCACATGTTGCTTTGAATAGGTGCTCAGCTGCCTGCTATGGGCTGAGAGGTGGGGATGGGCTATTGCTACCAGAGTAGAAGCTGAACTTGACTGAAATTAACCATGATTCAGTGTCTGTTTCCCTCTGAAGCCACAGCCTTCATCAGGATCCAGGACTCCATTAAGGAGGAGGGTTCCTAGAACTTCCTACTCTGTTGTCTTCCCAGGATCCTCTCCATCCTATTCATGAGACTCTTCTGAGTTTTCATTGCTTCTCTTTCACTTAAAAAAATGGATTCCTTATTATATTCCCTGTTTCCTTTCTTTTTCATCTTTCATTTTTCTCTGAGTTCCTCTACCTTCCTCCCAAAGTAACATCATCTCTTTTGTACAGTCTGTGAAATTTAAGATCTATAATTTCATTTCAGTTTTATATCCTTCCTCTTGCAGGAGATTTTCCCCTAAGTGTCCTGCCGTTATCTCAACTTAGCACATTCCATGCTCAGCTCTGTACCATTTAAATTTTAGGGTGTTCTCTCTTCCCATTCTTTACCGTGCTCAATGAAGTCTCCTGTGTTTCCCCTTCCAAAGATACAGAGTTATCCCCCAGATAGGCCAGAGAGGCAGTTAGAGCTGTGGAGTGGTTAAAACCACCGAGTAGCACGCTAGTGTGCTGACAATCCCTACCTTTATTTTGTATTGGGAAAGTTTACCAGGATGGGTCAGGGTAAGGAGGCATCACATAACAACCTGCATCTACTGCTCCATCAACAGTTTCATGGGTATTTATCAGATTCATTGTTTCCTATGTTATTTACATTTTTAGCCTTAAAAACTGAAGTGGTTGAAATGAGCCTCATTTTGCAAATAAGTTGAATGAGATTAATTGGAAAGAGGAAAAGATCCTGATATGGGCAGATTCCTTTCCAATGTCAAATTCAGAGTGATGGCCATAAGTTTTCATATGACCTTTTATATATTTTTTTATTGTTGTGATGGGTGGGGGCATATTGTAGTATTTACAAAAATTCTTACAATATGTATCATACTTGAATTCACCCTCTCTTTTGCCCTCCTTTATCCCACATCTCTCCATTCCTGGAATGGTTCCAACAGGTATCATTTTTGCATTTACATACATGTGTACACACTTTTTGTACCTTATTCACCATCCTACCCCCGTCCCCACCTGCTCACCCCTCCTACTGGTACCAGTCCTTCCCCCTGGGCAGGACCTGTTCTGCCCTCCTGTTCTCCGATTTTGTAGAGGAAAAAAAAGAAAAAAAATGACATTTTTTGTTAGTTTAAGATAAAGGTAGCTACACAAGGAGTGCTCCTGTGATATTTCCATGTATATATGTGTTGTTACCCCAATTGGTTCATCTCATTTATTTTTCTTCATTCTACCTTATTCTGTTTCTTATCATAGTTTCAGCCAGTTTAAGAATTCTATATTCATTCTTTTATAGAAAGTATATCAACCATATTCATCTTCTTAGTTTCCTTCTTTTACCCTACCCTCTCATATGTGACCACCCCTTAGTGTGACCAGTTTTTCATAGTATTTCTATATTTGCATTATGTCTGTATTCCATATATGAGAGAGAACATGAGGCATTTGGCCTTCTGAACCTGGCTAACTTCACTTAAGATGATGTTCTCCAGTTTCATCTACTTACCTGCAAATGACAAAATTTCATTCTTCTTTGTGACTGAGTAAAATTCCATTCTATATTTTACGCATTTCTTGCTTTGGATTCGTAGAGAGACCTCCCAACAAGGTAGAGATGCCTACATTATTGGAATTCAATCTCACCAAGTCTCTGCATGATTCTCACACCTGTTGTTTCATCCTTCCCCAGAGAATTCACCCTATGTGTTTTTTGGATACTCTTTAATCCACTTCTCTTGAACTGTTAGATACATAGTTATTGATGGGCTTCTTCAGCCTATACTTCTACCTTTTGAACACACACACACACACACACACACACACACACACACACATGTATTTACTTTTTTTTGAGACATGTTCTCTCTGTAGATTCCAGGTTGGCTCTGACTTCTTGATCCTCCTTACCTTAGAGTTCAGAGTGTAGGATTACAGATGTATGTCATCACACCTGACTTGAACATGTGCATTGAAGTTGTATGTATTTTCTTTTAAAAAGTTAACTGGCTGATTGATTACTACTTATATACAGCTGTGCTTTTGAGCATTCCTTGCTTCTTACACTGTTGTTGAGAATAAACATTCTGTGGACCTTTGTTGCCCTAATATCCTGAAGAAGCTTTTACCTTCCATGCTTTATAGCAAAGACTGAAAGAGCAAAGAATGCTTGGTTCAGACAGCTTGCATATCAATTATTTGTGTTGCTGCTTGACAATAGTATTACTGTCCTAATTGCACATTACTCTCCATGGCACTCTGGTTTCTAAATGAAAGTCTGTCTGCTATAAGAAACAGACCGAGTTCATCTAAATACTGTATTATCATCTCATGTGCAGTTAGTGTTGTCCAGCAAAACTCATAAAATGAGGCCTGGCTCTAATGTAATTACACCTACAGATAGGATTTTAGGAGGTGATTAATGATAAATGAAATCACACAGGTTGGGCCCCAAATGATAGGACTGGATTCTTAAAGGCTGGTAAAGATTCCTTCTCTCTTTCTCTTTCTTTTACTCTCTTCTTGATGTGAGGACACAGAGAAAAGATAGACTTCTGCAAGTCAGGAAAAGTGCTCTTAACGGAAACCAAAGCTAAATAAAACCTTGAGCTAAGTCTTTTCATGGTCCAGTGGTATAGAAAAATTTAATGTTTAATAATTTAAATTTGTTACATCATGCAGTCTGTAGTAATATTGTATGGTAGCCCAAGCTCCTCTCACATTCATTGTATTGTCTCTCCATTTTTCAACCTTCCTTGCCTTCAATGTCACTAAAAAAAGACTTTTACCATAACATATAATGTCTGTGTAGATACCACATATTTTCATGTGTTGTATAATTTGAAGAACATTTTATCTGACAAATGTGAAGAACATGCACCAATCATTTACAAAAAAATATGAATTTGTGGTAATAATTTCATGAAGGTTAAAACAAAGTGTGAGCTAAATTTTTGGAAAATATTGTGAGCAACATTTTCCTTATGTTTGAAATAAAAATGTTTATACATTTTCAGTGAGAGACTACATAAAAACTGTAAAGGGGTCAATAAAACATACTTTTCGAATGTTTTTATTATAAATTATTAGATAAAGTTTTTAATATATATGTACATTTATTGTGTATATATGTATATATTGTGTATATGTGTATATATATGTATATATTGTTTATATATGTATATATATAAATGTATATATATATACATTTATTGTGTACAACTCAATGTTTTCATATATATATTTTATGGTGTAATGGTTTAACATAGCAAATTAAAATATGAATTTCCTAGCATATTTTTTGTGCTGACAACTTTTAGATCGACTTTTTAACATTTTTAGCAATGCAACTTATTATTATTAACCATAGTGGCCATGTACTGTAGCCCTCTTGAACGAATTCTTTCTGTCTAATTGTAATTTTGTGTAATTTGACCATCATCTCCTCTACTACATTGGCTTCTATTGCCTCAGCTTCTGGTAACCACCATTCTTTGCTCTCGTTCTGTGAGATCAGGTCCTTCATTTTATTTTTAGGTGGTATTGGGGTTTGAACTCAGGGTCTCAGCTTGCTAGCCAGGTGCTCTCCCACTTGAACCACTCCACCAGTCCGAGATAAAGTACTTTAGATTCCACATATGGATGAGATCATGGAGTGTTTGTATTTTTCACCAAATTTATGTGAAAATGGCTATTATCAAAGATAAAGACAACAAATATTGGTAGTACTGAGGAAAAGGGAAATGTTGAATACTGCAGGTAGAAACATGAATTAGTATAGGCACTATGGAAAACAGTATGGAGGTTCCTCTAGAAAGTAAAAATAGAACTACTATATAGTACTGCAATCCTACTACTGACTATTTATCTAAAGGAAGTGTAGCACCCATTTGAGAAGACATCTGTATTGTTATGTTTATTGCAGCAGCTTTCACATTAGTCAAGAAATAGAAATAACCTAAGTGTTCATCCACAGATGAATGGATAAGAATATGTGTCCCATATACACAAAGTAATACTATTCCACTTAAAAAAAGGAAATTCTGTCATTGATCCTAACCTGTGTTACAGTATTTTAAGTGAAAAAAGCCTGTCAGAGATGACAAATGATTTAAGTTTTTAAAGAACTTTCTCTGTGCAATGTCATTGTATGAAAGGACTGATTTTGACAGGAAGACCAGTGGAACAGAATAGAGGACCCAGATATGAAGCCACACAACTATAACCAACTTGTCTTTGACAAAGGTGCTAAAAATATACAATGGAGAAAAGACAGCCTCTTCAACAAAAACTGCTGGGAAAACTGGTTAGCAGTCTGCAAAAAACTGAAACTAGATCCATGTATATCACCCTATACCAATATTAACTCAAAATGGATCAAGGATCTTCATATCAGACCACAAACTCTAAGTTGATACAGGAAAGAGTAAGAAATACTCTGGAGTTAGTAGGTATAGGTCAGAACTTTCTTAATGAAACCCCAGCAGCACAGCAACTAAGAGATAGCATAGATAAATGGGACTTCATAAAACTAAAAAGCTTCTGCTCAACAAAAGAAATGGTCTCTAAATTGAAGAGAACACCCACAGAGTGGGAGAAAATATTTGCCAGCTACACATCAGACAAAGGACTGATAACCAGACTATATAGGGAACTTAAAAAACTAAATTCTCCCAAAACTAATGAACCAATAAAGAAATGGGCAAGTGAACTAAACAGAACTTTCTCAAAAAGAAGAAATTCAAATGGCCAAAAAACACATGAAAAAATGCTCACCATCTCTAGCAATAAAAGAAATGCAAATTAAAACCACACTAAGATTCCACCTTACCCCTGTTAGAATAGCCATCATTAGCAACACCACCAACAACAGGTGTTGGCGAGGATGCGGGGAAAAAGGAACTCTTACACTGTTGGTGGGAATGTAGACTAGTACAACCACTGGAAAAAATTTGGAGGCTACTTAAAAAGCTAAACATTGATCTACCATTTGATCCAGCAGTACCACTCTTGGGGATATATCCAAAAGACTGTGACACAGGTTACTCCAGAGGCACCTGCACACCCATGTTTATTGCAGCACTATTCACAATAGCCAAGTTATGGAAACAGCCAACATGCCCCACTACTGAATAGTCTCTTGTCTTACAAAAGGATATATTCCATTTTATGCAGCCATGAAGAAGAACGAAATGTTATCATTCGCTGGTAAATGGATGGAATTGGAGAACATCATTCTGAGTGAGGTTAGCCTGGCTCAAAAAACCAAAAATCGTATGTTCTCCCTCATATGTGGACATTAGATCAAGGGTAAACACAACAAGGGGATTGGACTATGAGCACATGATAAAAGCGAGAGCACACAAGGGAGGGGTGAGGATAGGTAAGACACCTAAAAAATTAGCTAGCATTTGTTGCCCTTAACACAGAGAAACTAAAGCAGATACCTTTAAAGCAACTGAGGCCAATAGGAGAAGGGGACTAGGAACTAGAGAAAAGGTGAGATCAAAAAGAATTAACCTAGAAGGTAATACACATGCACAGGAGAGTAATGTGAGTCAACTCCCTGTATAGCTATCCTTATCTC